ATGTTCATGCTTAAGAAGCTCGAATTGCAACTGGATTTATGTCGTCGCAAGTTCACCATTGGTGACCAATTACTTGCGGTAAGCTTTATTATTCTAACAGCTCATATATATATATATACACGCCTCATGCAATCTCATAACGCCATTGCTTTGAGGGTTGCAATAGACTATGATTGAGAAGGAAGAGCAAAGACTGAACTCAACTACATCGATGGTACTCACTCGAACTACGAGAAGCGTTGGATTGATGTCGATGTCATTTATCTACTGTACAATACTGTAGAGTGCACTGGGTAACGATATGCATCGACTTCGAAGAGGGTGAACTCATCGTGTGTGACTCCTTCATGTCCATAACACCATTGTCTAAGTTGGAAGAGGAGCTGAAGCCGATGATAACTATTATCCCGGTACTTATTTGCAGGGTCGGTGTTCAGCTAAACAAGTCGAATATACCAGTCACGCCATGGCGCATCCATAGAGTCGTATTAGCACCTCAACAGGACATGGACGGTGATTGTTGTATATTTTGTGTCAAATTTTTTGGATATGATGTGATTGCCTCTAGCTTTAATACCTTAACACAGTCTAGGATATCATTTTTTAGGCCGCAATTTGCCGTCAGCTTTGGGTGAACAAATCTATCATTTGAATAATACATTTGTAATAGTTTTATGACCATTTTTGAACTATGTTTTCTGTACATGAATGTTGTTCATATACTGGATTTGGAAGTTGTTAAGATAAACACAGGTACATGTGATGAAAAATGACTTGAGTAAGAAGTTATTCAAAAAAATGCAGGACCCACGGTCGAAATATTCATAATTTACAGCCGTGGTGGAGAGAATTCAAGGTCATGGTTGAGAGAATTCAAGGCCGTTTGTTGAGAATTCAAGGGCATGGTTCTGAAATTAAAAGTCGTGGTGTTGAAAATTCTAGGCCATGATTTGAAAATTCTAGGTTGTAGTTTGAAAATTCAAGGCAGTGGTGTTGAAAATTCAAGGTCGTGGTGTCGAATTTCCATGGCCTTTGTTTATTTGAATCATAACCATGACCATGATCAAGAAACTCACGACCATTAAATTTTCTAGAAAGTGAGTATTCATCCCTAAGTATGACCACGAGCGTGATTAGATATATTTCGACCTAGTCAGTCTACATAGTAAGCGGTTGGATCGAATAATAGAAAGTGAATAAGAGTACAACGTTTTCCAAAATACAATTAATAGTTCAGCTAATGATTTACATGTCTCCATCAGTAGTTCTAAGTGGTTGGCGGCATGTTTTTCTATTATGTCCCATGTTGCCACACCGACCGCATTTGTGGACTTGGCGGGTCTCCCTAGCAGATGGAATTCGTATAGTTTAACGTCGGCCAACATGCGGAACATATCTGGGCGACTCCACTTTACGGTCGACGAAGTCATCAAGTAAAATCCAATCCTCCTCATCGCTAGAGGGTACACAGGTTTGACATATGCGTTAATTAGAGTTTGGAGAGTATATGCAGGTGAGCATAGTGTGTATCTGTTCAAATTCCGATAGGTGGCCGCTGCAATAGTGTGGGAGTAAGGAAGTTGGAAGTAGTCAAACTCTTTACATCTACATGTCCTTGCATTTAAATTCACACGCACCCTTTTTAGTCCATCGCTCACCTCCAACTTATGGTGGTCAATGGGTGTGATGGAGTGATACAAGAGAGGTTCTTTGCAGTACGCATCTTCTTCTCACCGTAGTCAATAAGAATGGTTTCGCGACTGGATGTGTAGGTTCGTCTTTCGTAAAACCAGCGTTGTAAGAGCGCACAATCATGTTCAAGAAGTGCAGTGGCTGGCAAAGAACGTGCATGGACGAGAACTGCATTCATCGACTCTGCAATATTAGATGTCATTTGGTCATACCTCAAACTCGGTTGAAATGCACGAGTATATCTTTCAAAATCGATTCCTTCCAAGTATCTTTGAACCTCTAGAAATCCTGCTAGTTGGGAAAAATAGTACCTGAACTCTAATTTCCCGGCAGACCTTTGCTGCTAATATGACGTTTCTTGCATGGCATCGTCCTTGAACTTGTCCTTCAGGTTCGTGGACAAGTGTTACAAGCATATTCCATGAGCCGCTTGAGGAAATATCTGCCTAACAAATTTCGTAATGAAAACATGTCGATCATATATGAATAATAACCCATATATGATCGAGGTGGTGAAAACAGACGGGATCGGGTCGGGTTGACCCGAGATTTTCAAGGATCAACCCGAGACCCGACCCAACCCGGTCGGGTTAGAATTTTTCAACCCAACCCAACCCAACCGTCGGGTTCCCTAAACACCCCTAGTAAACCATGTAGCAAGTGAAGGGGTTGGTGCAATCGAAAGAGAGCAAGTGACAGGGGCCCCAAATCCAGTCGCAAAAGGAAATTCATCCTCGTTGAAACAAACATGCTGGGAGATAAAAATTCTACCATATGAATTAAGATATTTCGGCCTTTATGAATCGGGCATGGACCAAGATACACACATTTTTCAGAATGGAATTGAAATTTATGCACATGATAGGGATGTAGACATGGATAGCAAGAATAATCAAACGTCTTAAAACCAGAAAAATTGAGCCTTGTATTAAGCAGTAACTCTATAGGAGATATACCATGTATCATTGAAGATGGAAAGCCATTAATGAGCAGCGTGGAGGTCAAAAATGCATCCCATCAGTAGCGTAACGACATGGAAGCTTGGGCAAACAATGTAAACCGGTCTCAACAATTTGATGATGTCTTCGCTCTGCCCGACCATTCTGTATAGATGTAAAAGGACAAGAAAACCCAGAAGTAATACCCAATTGAGAACATAACTGATGAATGTGTTTGTATTCTCCACCATTATCTGATTGTAGCACTTTAATTGAACTACTAAATTGGGTCTTTACTAAAGCAACAAAATGATTAAACGCGACAAGGGTATCACTCTTCAATTTAAGAGGATTAATTCAGGAAATCGACTATAATCATCAAGAAAGTGAACATAGTACCAATACCCAACAACTGACTCAAGCGGAGCTGGACCCCATAGGTCCGTGTGAACCAAATCAAATGGGGCAGTAGCATGAGAATTTGAATTGACAAAAAACGGAAGAGCATGAGATTTACCAAACTGACATGCTTCATAAAATTTGAAAATATCATTCACTTTCACCGGTAGAAGACAATTTTTAACTAATAAATCAAGAACTTTGGAAGATGGGTGCCCAAGTCTTCAATGCCACGTAACTTTAGACACCACAATATTTACACTATGAGCAAAATTAGAAAGAACATAAGCAAAGTGAGAAACTTTATCATTACCCGACTCCAAGCAACTCGTAGTGTGACTTGAAGCACTACTAGTAATTGCACCTCCCGTGTCAAGTTGGTAAAGTCCATCTTTAAGAGACCCTTTCAGCACCAACTTGCCCGAATGAATGTCCTTTACAAGACATAAATCAGCATGAAATTCCAAAAACACATTATTATCTCTAGCAAGTTTTGACACACTTAGAAGATTTTTAGCATTGTCAGGCACACAAAGTACATTCTCAAGATCAAGCAAACCAGGATCAGAGGTTAAACAAGATTTACCAATATGAGAAATCATAAATTTATTTCTATTACCGACCGTCGCTTTCTCAGTACCTCCATACTCCGAAGGATGTATAATATTGCGATAGTCCGCTGTCACATGATTTGAGGCACCACTGTCAACATACTAATTTGGATCTAGGACGGTTTCAGGATTTGCCACAAAATGATTGGTGTTCTATGTTGTGAGAAAGGCATGGGGAGCTGGACTTGGATTATTTTCCCCATTTTGTGCATACAAACCATTAGGATTTCCAATCTTTCCTTGATTTGAATTAGTCCCTGCAAACTGTTTATTAAACTGGTGATAACAAGTTAACGCTGGCCCTACCTTTCCACAAACCTGACAAATGAGACGATTGTTGTTGTTCCAATGACCTCTACCACGACTTCTGCCTCCACCATCCCTTTGATTATTATTAAAATGTTGGGTTTGCCGACTATTGTTAACTTGGGTGTTGTTAAGGTAGGCCTGTCGTTGTCCACCATGAACATTATTTTTGCTGCTTGCCATATTCACTGAGGCTAAATTGAATGACACAATACTTTTCTGGGTGTTCTGGAGTTTCAATCTTTTTTCAAAGACAATTAACTCTGCCTGCATTTCAGACCCGGTAATTCATGTTCTTCTTTGAATCATAGCAACAACGGGGTTGTACTCTTCATCTAATCCCAGTAAAATTTGAGAAATTAGTGAATGGGTAGGGACAAGACTACCCGCTTGACCCAAATTGTCGGCATGAGACTTCATCACACACAAATAATCAACCATTTTGAGGGAATTTTTACGAGTTTGTTGAAATACCTGACGAAGATAGTCTTCTTTTACTCAAGATTGAACTCCAAATAGCTCTTAAATGGCTGTCTAGAGATCACTAGCATTCTCGTATCCCATCACTTGAGTCGCCGCCTCAGGGGTCATAGAATTATAAAGTCATCCCAGGAGAAGTTGATTTATGGTCATATAGGACTCATACAGTGGGGTTTATCATTGCTGACATACTAGTTGTAGAGCGAGGACGCATGGTTGGATGATGAGGTGTTGGCCATGGTAGTTCTGATACCAAGTGAGAAAACAACAGTTAAATAAAGAAAAACTATTTTCTAGCTTTGATCTTTCTATTTTATGAGAGCCATGCTCCATATTCATACAACAAAATCCCTTTGAATTAGGATGATAAAATATTTATAACAAAAACAAATACTATACATGGCAACAACTAAACAGATAGCAACGATTACTCACTAAATTTGTTGAAGAAAGATTCTGTAGATTACTCAGTATGGATATTTGACACGTCATCAATTACATGGGTCATTCATAAGGTAAGAGTTCCAGCTCAGGATTTATTCTCCAGCTCATTTATTTTTTGGTCCAGCTCACCTTTTCTCACCATTACTTGTGTATTTGTGTGGGTATCAATATTGTAACCTTCTAGAATTATCTGGGTTGAAAGAAAACGTGTGAGTGGGGTGAAAGGTTGAATGAGAGAGGGAGAATGAGCATTCTTGAGTTTGTGAGGGTGTGATTCTTGCATGGTGGGTGTTCTTGATGTAGTGTTCTTACACAATTTGAATAAAGGCCGGAAGATCTGTTTGGATAGTAGATGTACACCAAATTGGTGGAACCACTTTAACCTTGGTGTTGCTTCTGATTGTTTTATTTCTTCTCTGTTCTTAGTAATTCGTTTCAATTCCAGGTACGTTAATTTTTACAATTGATGATATCAGAGCTTGCGGGTTTGATTTTCTTCTTCTGTGAATTTCTGATGAGTGATTTTCAAATTGGCTTATAACAAGATTTGTTGTTATAGTTCAGTTTTTCGATTCTTCGCTGAAGTTTCCAATTGAGAATTTTCTTTAGATTTCTCAAGTTTACGATGCATATTTTTCTTTCGAATTCTTCATCTCTGTAAATTCCTTGAAGAGTATTTTTGCTGAGAGTAATTGTTTTGAAATTCTGAAGGGATTTGTTGATGCATATTTTGCAACTGACCTTGACAAGAGGAGATCTACATCCGGGTATGTTTTTGTTAAATAATATTATTTTCTTTAAATTTCCTATTGTATTTACGTTAGATGTCCTTGTCAGGTTTCTTTTCTTTTCTTCTTTGTAGCTCCTATTATAGTCTTGTATCAATTATTTGGAAGTAAGTAAGAAATAATTATTTTTTCTTATCAATTAACATGGTATCAGAGTCTTGAGGCTTTTTCGATAGCCCTTCATTGCTGGTCACTTTTTCAATCGACCTTTATTGTCGATCAATTTCCTACTACTTTTGGATTTGTCGTTCGTGGTCGATTTGTGAATCGTGTGGTTGCTGTGTTTTTAGGGCTTCAAAAATAAGATAAGGAAAATTTTCTGACTAGATTTTTCTGGTATGTCCGGTTCAACCTGGTTCGGTCCGGTTCAATGTATTTCCATTCCGGTTCAGTATATTTTTGGTCCGTTCAGCCTGTTTCCGACTCGGTTCTTCATATTTCGATCTAGTTCAACATACATTCAACCCAATCCCACCCGGTTCGGTCCAGTTCAATGTATTTTCATTCCGGTTCAGTATATTTTCGATCCGTTCAGCGTGTTTCCGACCCGATTCTTCATATTTCGGTCCAGTTCAACATACATTCAACCCAATCCCGCCCGGTTTGAACCAATTTTGGGCCTAGTTTAATTCGTTATCAGTCTGGTTCAACATTTTTCGGCTCGTTCAGCCTTTTTTTAGTTCGGTTTAGACGTTTTTTGTTCGGTTTGACTGTTTTTTGATTTGGTTCAACCGATTTTGGTTCGATTCAGCCCTCCTTCAGTTTGGTTCAGTTTAGTTTAGTGCTGATTTTTCCTCATCCTTCTATTTGGTATTTCAACCGTCAGTTTTGTGCGTAGATCTCCATTTTTTAGTTGTTGTTTAGTCTATATTAGCATCAATGTCGCAAACGTCCAAAATTACCAAAAAGTTGGACATACATGAGATCAAACAATTAAGGAGCCTCTTAAAAACTTTGGATCATGCTCCTAGTGAAGGTACAGGTTCGGTAACTTTGACAAGTACAACTTCTCAGTCTAAACGTTGTACTTTGATTATTGATTCTGGTGCAACTAACCATATGACGAATAGTAGTTGTCATTTTATCTCTTATAGTCCTTGTCGAAGCAATAAAAAAATTTCTACAGCAGATGGTACCTTAGTAACAGTGGCTGGTCAAGGAGACATCAAGATAAATTCAAACATTATGTTAAAAAATGTGCTCCATATACCACGTCTAACTGTTAATTTGATCTCAGTGAAGAATTTGATCAAAGATTTAGGATGTAGATTAATCTTTTCTGATTCTTCTTGTATTTTACAGGACCAGGAAAAAGGGAAGACGATCGGACTTGCTAACGAAAAAAATAGACTCTATTATCTTGATGAATCTATTGGTCTGAATAGTGTTCCAATCTCCTTCACCTCACAAACTCATCAAACTTCAAGTAAGCTTTTGTTGAACAATTATAGACTAGCACATCCTTCATTTCAAACTTTTAAAATTTTATTTCCCAATTTATTTAAAAATCTTAATCCATAGTCAATTCAATGTGAAGTTTGTGAACTGCCAAAACACAAGCGTGTACCCTTCCCTAATAATAATAAACAAATATCAGTTCCTTTCTCTCTTATTCATACTGATGTTTGGGGTCCCTCCAATATGCCAAATATTTCCAAGTTTCGCTGGTTTATTGTGTTCATTGATGACTGTACTCAAGTCTCATGCGTTTTTCTTTTAAAACAAAAATATGATGTTGGTTCTACCATTCAAACATTATTTCATATGATAGAAAACCAATTCAAAATCAAACCCAACGATTTCACTCTGACAATGCTCGAGATTATTTCAATCAAAATCTAACATCATTCTTTCAGAAAAATTGAGTCATCCATGAGTCGTCTTGTGTGGATGCTCCTAAACAAAATGGGGTGGCCGAAAGAAAAATTGGTCACGTTCTTTCTGTAACACGTGTCATTCTTGAAATGTTCCTAAATCCTTCTGGGGGGAAGCTGTGCTAACAGTCACTTATTTAATCAATCGTTTACCAACTGCTACTCTAGATCATAAAAATCCTATGGATATCTTATCAAAATTTTATCCTGATTTTCGAACGACAAATAACTTGATTCCTCTAGTATTTGGTTGTGTAGCCTTTGTTCATGTTCATAATCATCAGCGAGGTAAACTTGATCCACGAGCACTCAAGTGTATTTTGTAGGATACTCGAACATTCAAAAGGGATATAAATACTATCATCCTCCTTCAAAAAGGTACTTCATCTCTGCTGATGTTGCCTTTTATGAAGACATCAGCTTCTTTACCTCACCTTATCTTTAGAGAGAGGAAATATTGTTGGAAGATAAGAATTTTGTCATTCCCAACCTCACGTTTCCTATATTAAATCCTTTACCAAACCCTATTGAAATTGACCCCAACATTAGTCAATTCTCCTCATCTTTACCATCCATAGACACCTCACCAGTGCCATATAACCCCTTACCACCCATAAGCACCTCACTAGGACCATCTAACCCTTCTACTACTATACCATTACAGGTTTATTCAAGAAGAAACATTGAAAAGGATACACAAGTCCAAGAGTCTGAACATATATCTGGAACTGAAATTGACGATAAAAGAATCAGTGATGAATCAGACGTTACAATATCTGCTAATGATGTGTCAGACCTGAATTTGCACATTGCTTTAAGGAAGGTAAAACGAACTTGTACTCAATATCCATTGTCTCACTTTGTATCATATGACAAAATCTCAAGTCAGTACAGAAGTTTCATGGTTAATCTTACTCAGGTAAATATTCCAAAAACATATATGGAGGCAATACAACATGAAGAATGGAGGCAAGCAATGAATCTTGAAATGCAGGCTTTAGAAAAAAAAATAGAACATGGAAGCTAGTTACTATTGCCTAAAGATAAGAAAGTTGTAGGATGTTGATGGATATATACTGCGAAGTATAGAGCAGATGGAACACTTGAGAGGTACAAAGCACGGTTGGTTGCTAAAGGATATACTCAAACATATGGAGTTGATTACCTTGAAACCTTTGCATCCGTTGGCAAGATGAACACAGACTCTTGTTGTAAATCATGGATAGGACATATTACAATATGATGTAAAAAATGCTTTTTTGCATGGTGATCTTGAAGAAGAAATTTATATGGAGATTCCACCTGGGTATGAGCAAGCAGGAAATAAAGTTTGTAAATTAAGAAATACATTGTATGGATTAAAGCAATCTCCTAGGGCATAGTTTGGTAGATTTTCTCAAGTTATGAGGAAGATGAGCTATAAATAAAGTCAGGGAGATCATACATTGTTTATAAAAACATTCTACTACAAGGGGAGTGACATCACTAATTGAGTATGTCGACGATATTATTGTCACTGGTAATGGTAATAATGAACAAGATAAATTGAGAAATTGTTTAATCCAAAAGTTTGAAGTTAAAAGAACTAGGAAAGCTGAAATATTTTCTTGGAATAGGACTATTCTAAACAGGCATATTCCTATCACAACAGAAATATGTGATTGACTTACTTTCTAAAACAGGAAAGCTTGGCAGCAGATCGATGGAAATGTCAATTGATCAAAACCATAGATTATGTACATCCGAAGAAAGTCCTCCAGTAAATAAGGAAACTTACCAGAGGTTAGTTGGAAAATTAATATATCTTTCTCATACGAGACCAGATATTGCGTATGTTGTAGGACTGGTAAGTCAATTTATGCATCGTCCAAAAGAAGTTTATCTCCAAGCAATGTACCAAATACTTCACTATTTGAAAAACTCCATTGGGAGAGGATTGTTCTTTAAGAAATGTGAGAAACTCAATCTAGAAGTTTATACAGATAGATATTATGCAGGATCGATAGACGATAGAAAATTCACTTCTGGCTATTGTACTTTCTTTGGTGGAAACTTAGTGACATGGAGAATTAAAAAACAAAATGTAGTTGCAAGATCGAGCTCAAAAGCAGAATTTAGAGCAATGACATTGGACATCTGCAAATTATTATAGATAAAAATTATTTTAGAAGATTCCATGGGAAATGCCTATGAAACTTTACTGTGATAATAAATCTGTCATCAGTATTGCACATAATCCAGTTCAACATGATAGAACCAAACATGTTGAGGTTGATAGAGACTTCATAAAAAAGAAGTTAGACAGCGGTCTCATATGTACTTCATTTGTACCAACAAATAATCAAATAGCAGATATCCTAACTAAAAGATTGAACAACAACAACTTTGAGCATTTGATTAGCAAGCAAGGAATGGAAAATATTCATTCACCAGCTTGAGGGTGAGTGTTAAATTATATTATTTTCTTTTAATTTCCTATTGTATTTAGGTTAGGTGTCCTTGTTCTAATGGGTAAGTGTTTTCTTATCCTAATAGGCAAGAGTTTCTTTTCTTTTCTTCTTTGTAGCTCCTATTTATAATCTTGTATCAATTCTTTGGAACCAAGTAAGAAATAATTATTTTTCTTATCAATTAACAGTTTTTACTCTTTTTGGTAATGCCATTGGCTGGAGGTCTACACTTCAATCTGTTGTTGCATTGTCAACAACAAGAATTAGAATATATACCTATAATTGATGGAATTAAGGAGGTTGTTTGGTTATCTGGTTTAGCTAGTGATTTTCTTGGTTTTGAAGTTCTTCCAAGTGTATATTGTCATAGTCAAAGTGCACTTGCTTTAACTAAAAAACAGACATTGAACTAAACATATTGATATAAAGTATTATTATGTTAGAGAAGTTGTATATGCTAAACAGGTTATGTCGAAGAAAATTCAATCTGTGGACAACCCTGCTGATATGTTTACGAAATCATTGCCTAATGTAAGGATGTTGTATTTGTGCAGCCTATTAAAAATACGTGTTGGCTGAGGTATTATTTGTGTATTAAATCCATTACAGATTTTATGAGCTTTTTCTGGTTTTGTAGTTGCTGAAGTGTTGAGGGTGATTTGTGGATATTTGACACGTCATCAATTACATGGGTCATTCATAATGCAAGAGTTCCAGCTCAGGATTATTCTCCGATTCATTTATTTTTTAGTCTAGCTCACCTTTTCTCACCATTACTTGTGTATTTGCGTGGGTATCAATGTTGTAACCTTCTAGAATTATGTGGGTTGAGAGAAAACGTGTGAGTGGTGTGAAGGGTTGAATGAGAGAAGGAGAATGAGCATTCTTGAGTTTGTGAGGGTGTGATTCTTGCATGGTGGGTGTTCTTGATGTAGTGTTCTTACACAATTTGAATAAAGGACTAAAGATCTGTTTGGATTAGGGATGTATGCGGTTCAGTTTGGCTCGGTTTTGGAGTCAAACCGAGACCGAACCGATAATAAATCTCTTATTATTAAAAACCCCGAGCTGAGCCAATATATAGTTTAAAGCCGAACCACACCGAACCGATAAAATGTCGGTTTATCAGCTTCGGTTCAGTGTTTAACCGAGTAATATGAGTCTGTGATGCTATGAGTCATCATGCCACTATGGTGCTTGGTGCGTGGGTGATTTGAAGATGCAAGATGAGACGGTTCGTGGGTAGGCTGATCTACCACACTGCTAGATTTGGTGCGTGGGTATGTCACCAACACAAGTCGAGTTTGAGAGAGACGAGCGAGAGGAAGGAGGGAAAGAAACGATGAGGTGGGAGAGGGGATACCATATCACCAACTTGTGCGGTTTGCTTGACGGA